TGAGTTTCTAAAATAAGTACCCAATTCTCTATATTATTGATAATCAATTGTCGTAATAGTCGTGACATAAATGATGAAATTGTGTTAAAAATGAATGAATTCCCAATAGAATTCATGTCAAGTAATTCCGAGTACTTGTTTAATATGATTTCAATACAATCTGATACCCAATCATATTTCAAAACATATTTCATTTGTTGGCATTTGTCTACAATAAAAGACTTGAATTTATTCACGTCTAACGCATTTGCTAAATCACATTCAAAAATATTGATATTTCGATACTTTTTATCCCAGGCTTTCAGTATTTCTGAAATGATTGGATGACAACAATGATTGTACTTTTCATTAAATATTTTAATTTCCTTGAATGAAAAATTTAGTACAATTTTTTGTTCATTTATGACATTGTTCAAATGTTGCTTAAATGAGAACTCATTATCATATTTAAGCACATAATCTATTATTAAATGTTTTGATGACTGAATGTATTTGCAATGATATTCACTTAATATGTCTTTAATAATATGAGTACTTTTGTCACAAATGAGAAGTGGTGTACAAATCATTTTGGATACAAAGACATCATTTTTTAATTTTGTTGAATAAATAGGAAGCAGTTTATCATCAATACTAGAAATCAATTTATTGTATTCAAGAAGCTCTTCATTACTAACTTCACTGCAAATGCGGACCAACTGTTTAGACGATAATATTTTAGTTTTATTTAAACCCTTATTTGGATCACAGAATACACATTCATCTAAATTACAATTATTGTTGACTTGATTTGAATTATTAATAACTTTTGATACGTCAATCAATTCGTATATTTTTCGATAGGCTTTTGGTGCAAAATAGTTACCAATTGTATGAACTGATAGACCACTGGACACATCATTAATAGGGATGAGTCGCGTCCCTGTCTTACACTCGTCCCTATAATTAAGCACTAATTTTCTTGAATACATTGCCAACAAAATTAATTAATCCTTAAAACAACTTTTGAATATTAAAACATTAATATTCAGTACTATTGCAACTTTTTTGTTGTTAATGAGAGCATACTTTCCAAGTACTGAATTGAATAATACTTTCATTTGTAGTTTTGTTAGTCATTAAAGTCTCGTATTTAATAGTAAGAGTTGCTAAGGAGTGGTACTTTAGCTTTGAATATAAGCACAATTATTAGCTTTTATTAAATCTCTCTAGGTATTTATTTTTAAAACTATACATAATTTAATTTTAGATTTATAAAGAATAATAAATATTTAAATAAAATTCTGTGTAATAATCTAATAATTTAATGTTTTTATTTAATTTATAATTAAATTCATTTACTTTATTCAATGGGTTTTCAATATAATTAAATATACAAGTTTTTAGTGCATTTCTAAAATTTAATTATCTATTTAGATATTAAATTGCGAAAATAATATTTCTATTTTATAGTTTTTGGTTTATAATGATAGCATAACATTTAGATTAAATCTAATTTTAATTATTTATATGTGTTTAATATAATTTATTTGTATCAATATTGTATATAAATTATACTTTATGTTTAATAAAACATATTTTAAAATGCAGTACATGTAAATTTATATATTATTAAATAATAATTTATTTGTTTTATTTTTGTGTCAAAAGTAAAATATTTTGCTTTTTAGATATTAATTCCTGGTATAGGATATAGAGGTATATTAATAGTTAGTACGCTAGACTTATTACAAAAGTATATCTTTTATACAGTTATTAATTTAATACAGTATTTAAATCAATAGATTTGATGATTTTATGAATTAAATTTTATGTCACTTTATATTGCTACAATATTACTACATTATAAATAAAAATAAAATTGTTCTAGTCAAAACAAGACTATTCATATATATGTTTTCAAATCATCTTATAATTTAGATATCATAATAAAACTCATTTGTTTCTCAATGGATATTAGAAGTGAGCTCATCATACAGTGTATGTAAAAAAGTGTTCTTTAAGGGGAGTGTAGTGTTTCATATTCAAGAATTGAATACTAGTTAACTGTAATACCTTGATCATAAAACTATTTTTAAATATTTATTTAATATTAATTTCAATCTCAATTTATGTTTTCAACAAATCATTAATTATTTTTTATTTACATTTTCTTTAATATACAGCATTTTAAAATCAATAATAAATATTTAAATAATTAAAAGCTTGTGTAGTGAATTAAATAAAAAATGGTTAGCATAATTTGCTTTGTAAAAACATTATGAATTAATATTTGGTTCAATAAAACGTTAATTGTATAATTCATTAGTTTCTTTACGTATAATTTTGAAGTTAATTATAGTAAAAATATAAAAAATGAAAAATTAATGTTTGATGAAAAGAATATTATAAAGTAAAGTATTGAAACATCCAAATCTCTCTCTCTCTCTCTCTCTCTCTCTCTCTCTCGCGAATAATTTTCAGGTCAATGTAATTATGAAAAGTATATACATTTGAATGAAATTAAATGAAATAATGTGCGCAATAATCAGACCATAGGTTTGTTGTTGGTTACCGTCAGGTATGAGTGAAAATGAGTGTTTGGTGTCTGGGCCTAAAGGCTCAACTCATACACTGATACACACCACGTACTAACACGTGTTCATTAGTGCGGAACACCATTTATAGTATTAATGATTGCATGCATTGATTGGTGAGAGACCCCACCCAACCCTATCATACTCTGTGCACATCTTCAGTCACACTAAACAACAAAAATATAACAAAACAGTTGACCACATATTATGAAACAAATAAGGCTCTCATGTAATAGCGTATAATGTCCTCAATTTAACCTCATTTCACTTGCCGTTCATATCACTCCTCATGCCATACATTCAATTGCCCGACAATTTTTGGGTTAAGCACCGGTAGGTCTATTAGGACTGTGCACTCAATTACCACCAATTGTCATATTAATACCTCTCACTCTTTGGATACGAGTTAACCATATATTATAATAGTGAGTGTTTTGGTGATGAAATACCCCAAACATTGTCCACATAATCAAACTTATGTCTCAAAGCTTTGTATCGCACAGAATATTCTGTAAAACCATTCAGTCGTTATCTTTGAACAGTTAAACAAATAGTATCATAAAAGTTGTTATTATATGTTAAAAGTCTGCTTGAGTTGATGTGACCACTAGTTAGGCTGTAGTCCTATATTCATAATCATATCAATCAATTGTTAAGTTAAAGTGATTACAAGATGTCAACTCTACCATCGACTCAAACAGCGGCTCAGGGGGCGAGTCAGCACACTATCATCAAATCGGAGATTGATTTCCAAAGACTGGTAAGACATCACCCAAAGTCATATCAATCACACCAATAGATAATCAATTTGTTTTACTTTTTATACTTATTTCGACATCTGTCACAATCACTATTGTTAACATTAAAACATTGCCTTCATTTTTGAAAGATAAAACTTTTTCATTTCCCTGATAAGTTTATGAATGATTTTGTTATATAAAGTATATTAAACATGGTAATTATTATCGATATAGTTTACATTATTTTTATTAAAAACCTTTAGTGGACTAGTTCTTAATATATGATTTTCTAATAAAACAAAGTTCTCGCATTTTTTAATATTTTAATTACCTACACAATATATTATCGGTAAAAATAATAATTATTAATTAATACTTTTGTTATACTGAATAATAAATAATAAATCATAAACAAATCACTCAGTTTATTTATGTCAATTACTCGATTTTGCTCTAACAGCACTAAAAAGTGTGTCATAAGGACTACTTTATATAAGTATTTTTACAATTCATTCAAACACTTATAATAAATTTAATTAATTAAATGAAACTGACTTAAATCACTACTTAATAATAAATTATTATGAATAGTTTTGAAATAAATGTAAATATTGACAAAAAGTCTTAATGTTTAGTTGGAACACATGTTAGTGAATGCATGTGAGGGCATAAGGTTTACCAAATAGGTTGCCACTTACTAATGATAATATCAATATATTATATTGATTGACATTACATTAGAAGCCACACAGTGTGATGATAGATACTTTTATAATAAAACAACCATGTACCGGTATTAGTGTTAGAGTTTTTTTAATGGACATTCTGGGTGATTGGCATCTAAATACATAATAGACCACAAATAGATCATAATATGAATGTGCATGAGTTGACCACAACTTGTGTTACACTGTGTAACTTACACACCACTTACTTAGGTTCAGGGCCACTTCAGGTACACATTGATTATCAACAATGCATTCACTTTCACACTAATCAATCAATTATCAATGCATTCAATCATTTAATTTTATAAATTCTATATAATTATTGCATAAATTCTTTGCAAACAAATCAATAACCTATATAGCGGTAGTAATGCACTATAATATAAATTATTATAGTGACTATATCCTGATATTAAATAAATAAGCTTTATTCAAGAATTATTAACAACATTATCAACAATTGTAATTATTGAGTAAAAATTCTTTACATTTGTTCACAAATTTCTTATAATTATTTTCATTTCGAATATCTTTTGGTAATTCGTTAAACATTTTCATTGAATACATAAAAAAAAGTTTTGATCACAAAACTTATTACGAGTTTTAGGAATTACAATGTTTGTACCGTTTCTATAATTACAATTAATTTTATACATTTGTTTCCAATCATTTGGTAATGTTTGGCAATCATTAATACATTTGTATACAATTTTCATAATATTTGTTTTTCGACGACATTCAAGTGAATCAATATTTAGTAATTGTAATCCTGTACTACAGTTATTCAAATGTTTTAATAATCGATTCATTCATAATTTACAAATCTTAAAGAAACCATTAAATTTGCATTAATGTGATTTTTAGATGCTTTTAAGAAATATTAAAGTATAATAACACTGATTTTTATTAACATAATATTGTTATTTATAAACAACCTATTAATTTATTTGAATGTATACCGGTAAATATTTCAAAGATTACACATTTACTGTTACAGCATCTAGAAATATACAGAACTTATTAGATCAGTAGAGTAATTAGTTATTTTCATATGGAGTATGTATACTATAACTTATTATAAATAAATGAGAAACTATATAAACTGATGTTTAGGTATTTTCTATACAACATAGAAAAATTTGAATAAACAGTATGTCAAAATATTGCATTCATGAATTATCTACAAATAATGGGACAATTGTCTATATTGTCGCCAAAAAGTTGTGAATTCAACGATTTGACAGATAAATCAAGGATATATTGCAACATATATTCTGCATTATGAATATTCTGTATTCAGAATATATGGGAATATTCGGCACTAAACGACAATATAGGTTGAGCTGAGGGGTAGGCGATGCGTGTCGTCGTTACCCGTTATTTAATGGCATTAAAATTCGTCATAAAATTAATGGATGTGTTATATAATAGCCATTTTTATTATTAATAATTAATTATGAAAACAATATGACTTATTATTTATTATTTAGTATTTGTTTAGTGAGTCAAATAAATACAGTTAATGAGCTAAAAAGCTCTAACAGCACTAAAAAGTGTGTCATAAAGACTACTTTATATAAGTATTCTTACAATTCATTCAAACACTTATAATAAATTTAATTAATTAAATGAAACTGACTTAAATCACTACTTAATAATAAATTATTATTAATAGTTTTGAAATAAATGTAAATATTGACAAAAAGTCTTAATGTTTAGTTGGAACACATGTTAGTGAATGCATGTGAGGGCATAAGGTTTACCAAATAGGTTGCCTCTTACTAATGATAATATCAATATATTATATTGATTGACATTACATTAGAAGCCACACAGTGTGATGATAGATACTTTTATAATAAAACAACCATGTACCGGTATTAGTGTTAGAGTTTTTTAATGGACATTCTGGGTGATTGGCATCTAAATACATAATAGACCACAAATAGATCATAATATGAATGTGCACGAGTTGACCACAACTTGTGTTACACTGTGTAACTTACACACCACTTATTTAGGTTCAGGGCCACTTCAGGTACACATTGATTATCAACAATGCATTCACTTTCACACTAATCAATCAATTATCAATGTATTCAATCATTTAATTTTATAAATTCTATATAATTATAGCACAAATTCTTTGCAAACAAATCAATAGCCTATATAGCGGCAGTAATGCACTATAATATAAGCTATTATAGTGCTTTATCCTGATATTAAATAAATAAACTTTATTCAAGAACTTGTTTGAATAATACAATAATTGTAATTATTGAGTAAAAATTCTTTACATTTGTTCACAAATTTTTTATAATTATTTTCATTTCGAATATCATTTGGTAATTCGTTAAACATTTTCATTGAATGTATAAAAAAGTTTTGATCACAAAAATTATTACTAGTTTTAGGAATTACTATGTTTGAACCGTTTCTACAGTATAATTACAGTTAATTTGATACATTTGTTTCCAATTGTTTAGTACATCAATGCAATCATTAATACATTTGTATACAATTTTCATAATATTTGTTTTTCCACGACATTCAAGTGAATCAATATTTAGTAATTTTAATACTGTACTATTTAATACAGTTATTCAAATGTTTTAATAATCGATTCATTCATAATTTACAAAACTTAAAGAAACCATTAAATTTGCATTCATGTGATTTTTAGATGCTTTTAAGAAATATTAAAGTATAATAACACTGATTTTTATTAACATAATATTCTTATTTATAAACAACCTATTAATTTATTTGAATGTATACCGGTAAATATTTCAAAGATTACACATTTACTGTTACAGTATCTAGAAATATACAGTTCTTATTAGATCAGTAGAGTAATTAGTTATTTTCATACGGAGTATGTATAATATAACTTATTATAAATAAATGAGAAACTATATAAAAAGATGTTTAGGTATTTTCTATACAACATAGACAAATTTGAATAAACAGTATGTCAAAATATTGCATTCATGAATATTGAGAATTATCTACAAATAATGGGACAATTGTCTATATTGTCGCCAAAAAGTTGTGAATCCAACGATTTGACAGATAAATCAAGGATATATTGCAACATATATTCTGTATTATGAATATTCTGTATTCAGAATATATGGGAATATTCGGCACTAAACGACAATATAGGTTGAGCTGAGGGGTAGGCGATGCGTGTCGTCGTTACCCGTTATTTAATGGCATTAAAATTCGTCATAAGTTTTATCAGATTTAATTGCAGTCCATATTTTGTATGAATTGAAAAGCAAAATCGATACGAAATTGAATCGCAAAACTACTGCTCACACCATACCTGTGCGGAAAGGCATCGCAATGCCATCGCGATTGGCGCTGTCATTGTTATTCTGGTGACAGAATCGCTGAATTTTATTGAAAAAAATTTTTCATTTTAATACGAATTTATGTCCAGTTTTGTTGAATAATAGATAATCGCATAAAATAGCAGTCGTGTTGTTGTCGGACAGTTGTGTTGTTGTGATTGTCTGATTGGGTGCCCATAACCGCACAGAACATACACACACCACAAGAGTATTGAAAATTCATTTATCTTTTATAACAATCTGTAGATTAACGGAGAATGTGATCGTTTAGTGTCTCGCGCCTCAAACCTCCTCCAAAACAAGTCCTTCACTGACGTGACATTCATTGTGGGTCCGCCACAACACTCCAAGAAATATGTGGGCCATCGGGTCCTACTGGCCATGACATCGCCAGGTCTTACCATTACATCTCATACCATATAACCAGTAATTCTTGTATTAACATGAATTAAATTCTTGGATTCAGTGTTTGAGGCGATGTTTTATGGAGATATGGCTGATAAGAGTAAAGTAATCCGTATCCCAGATATAGCTCCCATAGGATTCGAGAATTTATTACGATATGCCTATACGGGTATACATTTGATTGCATTTTGTTTATAAATATCTAATTAATTGTATGCATTGTCTTAAGACTCATTAAACCTAAACTCCGTCGAGGATGCAATGCTAACGGCATATGCGGCCAAAAAATATCTATTACCCCATTTATTAAGGTTTGTCACCATTTGTTAACATATTTTCCATTGATTACTCGATTTCTAATGTACCCCAAAATCGTGATACCATTGAATCGACAAAATAAATCACATGAAAAAGCAAATGTTTATTATTAGATTAGAAACAGATTACTGTGTGTTTTATATGCACAAACATCTATTCATGGACGGAAATGAATGGATTTTGGTGAAATGGAAATGAAAATAATGATTATTTGTGTTAATTATCGTGAGTGTCTCATTAAATGCAGGGAATGTCTGACCTATATTGAGAAGAACATCACCCCTTCGAGTGCATGTGCTGTCTATGAGTTCGCAACTGTTCTCAATTCACAACAACTCGTCTACCAATCGATGAATACCATAGACAGACAGACATACCATGTAATTACTCACAAATCTTTCAAGTGAGACATATTACCTAATTTTTCCATTGAACAATGACCAAGCTAACGATGAATTTGTCTTTCTGGATGCTATTATCGACTTTGGCAGTAACATCCAATTGTCAACTTTGGAGTTCATTGTCAGCAGACGTTACCTCAACCTATACTCAGAGTTTTCATTATTTAATTCGGTTATTCAATGGACACAAAATGAGTGCAAACGGAGGTCGGCCAACGCTAATGACTGGATTGTTATTAGGGGTCTTCTCGAGGATAGGTATTACACAGACATACCACAGCTCTTATAAGAGTCCATAATAGCCATTGTATTTATTGTATGGATTATCAGTACTATTATGAAGAACTTGCGATTCCTGACGATGTCAGCCGAAGAGTTTGCGAGAGTTATATCACAGACAACACAGAATACAGTTCCCAAAGAGAACGGCGAAGAGTCATACCTTCCCCTCGAGAATGCATTCATGAACAAGAACGAGCAAATCGCCATTTTCATGAATCTAGCCATCCCTGGGTTAGTTCCCATCACTAAAAGCCTGAGTCAGGAAACGACTCCCAGATGCGCACCGCGTATGACAAATGAATATGCGTTTGAAAACTTGTTAACTAATTACAAACCTTTTCTCTTGAAACCCGTCAATGATAGCCGAGTACTTCACAGTCAGACGCTATAAGCCGGTGACTTACGCCACAACCACTACATTAGCGCACGCATCGCAGGGCGCCGGCGGTAATAAACCCATCAAAACGGTTTGCACTAAATTCCAAGTCATGAACTCCGACCTCTTCATTGTCGGCGCTTCCATTCCTATCAGATTAGACCCAGGGTTTGACTCAACCATCATTTCAATTTAATATACATTCGCTATAATCAGTTATATCTAAAGGTATTATTCGGTTCGGACGCCAAAACTGGACTGTCAGCTGAAGTTCACCTCCAAAATGGGTGTCGCGAGTGAGGGCCCGATGGGTCAGAGGGCACAGGACGACGCTATTCTATTGGTAAGGGTTTGGATGGCAGGGATGGCAGTGTTCAATGATATATGTGTCACCATATGTACTGATTATAGGATACAGTGGACGACTCGATAACTCTGGTCATATCCAAGGACAAGGACTGTCACGTGAAGCTAAAGAGACCCCTGAGCGTGAAAAAAGGAAACCTCAATGAATTGCTTCTGACATTTCAATCGCCAACACTTAATGACGATATCGTTGTTATCAAAGGTATACTACTATCATCTGAAATGGTTTGTATGAATAACCACTGTTTGAATTGTCAGGACATCGAAACAAGTCGACTCAGACAGAGGTGGTGGACGGGGAGGCCATCAGTTGGGTGTTCTTCAAGTCGAGTGGACTCGAGTTCAATGAATTATATTATTTCTATTGAGAGAATTTGAAGCAATTTGTCGATAATTACATAATTATGAATAAGTAACGGCTGCCTGTATTAGGTGTTGACTATAGGTGTAGGTCAGGTACACAATGCGATGGACTGTTATGTTTGTCTGTCAGACTATTTAACATGAATTAAGCTGTGGACTAAACCTATTGCTGTTTACAAGTTAATTGTTTCCTTCATTACCAGCACTTAATCCTTAATTTATAACTTTAATCACTTATGAAACGCTTACGAAAATAAACTTCAAAAACACAACAATCCATGACTTTATTATTGATTCTAAACTTAATGTTAATTATTTAAAACTATAAATTATATGCTGTTATCAAATTGTATAAACATTTTTTGGTTTCGTTTATTTAAAAAACAATAAAATTAATTTTTGTCGATATATTAAGCCTTTTAAGTATGGTTTCATTGAAAACTATAAAGATAACTAAAAATAATTATAAGTCAATATTATGAGCTTCAATGTAACTTATCGTGAACAGGGAAGTAATCATTAGAGCTACCAGTGCTATGATTTCTAATTACCCATCATTTGCTCTTTACATCACTTGTAAACTGATTCACAACTGATTACTAAGAGGTTAACGAATGATAACTAAAGGTAGGGTACGATAAGAAACAGTATATGAGGGCAAGGGATGCCTCTGACAGGTAAGACACCGATAAGCGAGGCTAAGGGCCCACACCGGAGGGTAAGAGACGATAAGGAATGGCATCTGAGGTGAGGGACGACATGAGAGGCAGTAATGAACGATAAGTAAGGGTAAGGACACTGAAAGGGACAGTAATAGGACAGTGAAAGTTGGGACTCAATAGATAACATGTTATCAGATTAGATACAGAATATAATATTACGAGAATATTCTGTAATGTATTTTATGTGACATCTGGTGCTCTCACTGTGAGACCAATGCATATGTTATGCAATACTTGTTGTCAAACAGAGTGACAGACAGTCAGTGATCACATGATTCGTGAAATGATTACTTGAATTGAATTAGAAGTGAAATCCAATTGATTTGTGTGTTTGTAATGTATGTGAAGCTATTGAATAGCAAACTATGGATTATTAGCACAAATAACAGACAATTACTGCAATTGTGTCCACATGTCACCCAAAGTCCGAAACAGAAGTATGTTTTGAAATGTCTTTGAAATGATGGCACGGATTGACTGATCATATGATTAAACAGATTATCGCAAAACTATTACCAAATACTGGGAATCGATGAGAAGAGCGACAAAAAGCGGATCCGTTTATCGTATCTAAAGCTCTGCAAACGATTTCATCCGGATTTGAACCAAACGAGTGATCCGACGGCTCAAGAGGTCCAGAAAAGCCGACTCCAGGACATCAACAAAGCCTACAACTGTCTCATCAATGATGAGCGACGCCGTGATTACGACCTCCTCCTCAGACAACACCACACTATTGAAGACGAGTTGATCCGAGACGCCGATCCGCGCCACCAATCCTCCAGATATCGTCACTACACTTACTATTACTCACCCAATGATAGCAGTAATGCCTATAACTCTCATAACTCTTGGAACCGATATAATAGACATATGAAGTCCACTAAATTGTTTAGCAAACAACAGGTCTTAATGGCGTGCAGTTTAGCCTTATTTATGAGTATTATTTTGCATTTATTTCAATACTCAGTGTCTGTCCGACACTTGCATCATATGGAGAATAAGTGGAGAGATAATGGACACGACTATTGGAATACTTTGAAGTCCAGGTAATTGTTTATCAATTGTTTGTTTCACTAAATTTAGTTATAATTAATTTAAATTTGTGCCCACTTTTTAGGAAATCGCCTGAACAGAGAGTACAGATATTTGAACAAGGTGTGGAGTCCACTGTGGATCCCAAATAGTTTTAGCATATTTTTCTAGTATTTTTGTGATATAAAGATGTTATACCCGTTATATAGTCAACAAATTTTCAATAAACTGTAAAATACTTTTTTGTGTAAAATAATTCTGATGAGAATAAGTACTAAATAAAATATTTAAATTTTAGTCTAAATACCGTACATTTCTATTCATTAAAAAATAAAATTCTTGCCATTTAATTTAATATAAATATTTGATTAACTTATATTTTTCTGTATTGAATAAAATATGGCTATTCTTTATATCAAAGGTTAAAACATGAGATATATATCAGACAATGATTTACACTTTGATTGATTCTTACTTTCAAAGTTGTTTTTTTGTTCAACTTTTTTTAGTAATACTTTTAGCAAAAGTAATTTATATGAAAACTATTAAAAGCTCATTGAATCCAGAAATAGGTTGAACTGGAGATAAAAGGACTCGCGATTCCCCACCAAATGGTTTAAATGTCAAATACGATGATTGACTACAAGTATTAATAAAATGCAACACAAATAGGTTTGTATCGACGGCACGGGTGTGGTCTAAGATTAGGCATCATTTAAAAAACATATCGCAAATAACACACAAATCTTATTTATAAGTCATAACTCATTAAATTTATTATTGCTATAAACGATCGAATATTTTTACTTAAATAAATAATCCTTTAATTTATTAATTAGTTATAAGAGGTTTGCATTAAAAAAATTTCTTCACTTTCGACGAGCACTTGAAGTGAAATTTATTGGTAATCGCGACAATCGTATGCATCATATGCCGTGCGATGGTTGAGTTGAAATCGATGTTCACCACTCTATACAGCAAAACACTGGACACTAGGAATATGACCACTAAGAAGAGGACAGCCATTAAAATCAACGCCAATTCGATGTGTTGTCTATCGGTGTATAAACCGTAGGAAATCCAACTCAACGGCAAAAAGCGGAACACTATTAGAGTGACTGAAAAAAGTGAACAAAATTTATTAGTAATCATAAAGAATTGTTTGGATTCTTAGCATTCAATTCATGTCTGACTCACAAACTGTAAGAATGCTATTCGAGTAGTAAATCACTGATGTCCTGAGCGCACCGGAAAGTAGTAGGAGTTCCCTGACGTGAATGAAGAACGAGGAGATCTCGACCGTCAGCCCCACCATACAGTAGGCCATAAATCTTCGCTCGTAGAGTGAGACAGTAAGACACGAGAGGGTCATCACGTGGTGTACTATTATCTCGACTCTGCCCGGGTATTGAAGGTTTGTGAGCGACAACATGAGGTCGTACACGAAATAACCGGTTGATATGCATATCAAGGCATCGCCAGCACTGGACTCGGCGCTCAACATATCTGATAGTATCGATCGGTCGTCTATTATACTGGGAATGCAATTCGTTTCGCATTTAATACTATTTTTAATATAAATTTAATTTACAAATAAATATATAATATAAATATTATATTTTTTCATTTGTTATTCAAATATTTTAATTAAAATGCTATAATTTGTTGTGTTATATTGTTCAAATACAGAGTCAAATACACTTGTATGCTATCGAAAAGTATTGTAGTAAGAAAAGTCAAGTTTTGTGCAAAACTTAATGCTAAGATTAAATTTAGCATTAATGCTAAAACTTAATTCTAATTTATATGCATTAATGTGTATAGTATACACCGTATACGGTAGTATTGAAACAAAAAAGTAAGAATTAAATTTAGTGTAATACCTTATTAGATAATTCTTAACAAGAATCATTAGAAAATTCATTTCATGTTTATTAAATTATTTGTTAAAATGGAGTTTTTAATTGAGTTTAAAACTAAAAAGGAAATGTAACTCAAAAGTGCCGGTAATGCGAATTTTAAAAACTATTTAATCATTAATGAAATTATAAATTATAATTTCGTGCCCTCCCTCTGTTTGGTCCCTCCCTTAGACCATTGTGTCATAAACAGTAAGTAAAATGTGTTTATGTCTATCAATAACAGTAAAAATTAGATTAAAACAAATGAAAACTCATTGCTTACACATAGAGAATCCCAAAGCCGACTGTAAATGAATGGCAAAGCGATGTAAATATATTCCTGAACTTCCAGTCGAGAAATGTGTTGAAACCGATAGATTGCGGTCTTAGGAATCGGACTATAATTTGGTTTATGATCACAAAAGTTATAGCCGACACACAAATCGTAATTAAATCGATTGAGTCTACCATTACTTTGATATACTTATATTCAAACAATTGATTAGATTTTGAAACAGAAACTTTTATTTTTCCACTGAAAACACTAAATAAAATCTAATAATTTCTCGCTACGAATATAACATTTGATTAGAAAAAAAACTTATGACTACTACTTATCACATATGAGAAGAACAGTACGGAATAGTCATAAAACAGAGAACTTGTTTCACGAATTAATTAAATCGTGTGACTATTATATCGCACAAAGAATCCATTTGAATCGGTGTCAGTTGTAAGACGGTATCAAAAAAAACAAATTATCACAGAATTTGTAGCAAATAATACATTGGAGAAACAAGTAGTGAACAATACTTTGAGGTAAACTAATCAATATATGGAGAGGCAGTGAAGTGGAGGAGGAATAGGAGCGCCAAAAAGCAGCTAAAAAGAGACGATTCTTCTCACACACAACACACACACAGACTCTGCACTGAATCTAATAAATTATTGATGCCTTCGATCCGTACGAGAGAGAAATAATCACATCTTTGTTTTAATAACGAAATTATATATATTATTTAAGACGCGATTTTTAATGTTGAGCCACAATTGAGTTGGGTTTTAAAGTCGAGTTTCATTTTTGCCAATAATTGTGTTTATGTCTCCAGAATCTCGAAATGTTCAGTAATTACAAACTCCGAGTCCATTATACACGACAGCAACACACAAATGCGGTGCGAATATGCAGTACATCAAGAGTCAGAATATTCTGGCTTTCTATAGGAATAGTTGTACGTTAAATATATTAATATTATAATGTAATATATTATATATTTATTTAATCGCTTCACTGCTCACACTTAAAGTCATTCAACGAGAAGTTTATATTCAATTTATTCACTAATTTTATTCAATATGCTACTGTATTATTGTATTTGATTTAATATTTATTATTATAGCCAGAAAATTCTAATAAATTTTTAAAATATTTATGAATAGTACAGAACCATTTATATTCAATTTATTCACTAATTTTATTCAATATGCTACTGTATTATTGTATTTGATTTAATATTTATTATTATAGCCAGAAAATTCTAATAAATTTTTAAAATATTTATGAATAGTACAGAACCCATTGAATTATTTGCTATAAAAGTCACAACAAATCAATCAAAACACATTTAATTCAAATCATACAAATTTTTTTCCAATTAATGAGTAAAGTTGTGTTTAATTATAAATAGTAAACTGAAATGCCTTTACTATCACTACATTAAACACTCACAAAATGTTTGAGTTTCATGGAATATTAAATAAAAAATAATCCAAACAATATGAAAATACCATACAATATACAATATATGAAATACAGTACAATACCATAAATATAACACACAATTAAATAGGTAACTAAAACAATGAATTTAATGAAAAGTCAAGCATAAAACAAATTATATTCAAATTACAAACTGCAAGAATACTGTCAGCAAATACTTTGACATATTCTTGAACTCAACATAAGACAAATTTCAAACTAATGTGAAAAATAAATGACTAATGTGAAGTAAAAAAGTCATTATTTATATTAAATTCAATTTTTATAATTAATTTCACACAACATTCAAATAAGTTTCAGATATAGTTATTGTATTTATGATGCATTATGAAAACGCAATGTCCTAATGAATATTGTGTGCAAACCATTACGTTATTGCATACGTAAACCACAATTGAATTCAAATTCTTGACTAATATTCACATCTATTATAGATATCTTTTATTGATTATATCATTTGTGATCTCAATTTTCATATGTTTCACGAAATTACTTTTAAAAATTATAATTTAATAATTTACATAATTTAATAATACACAGACCTTTGGGTCACAAGTATTTTAACAAAATAATTCATTTAAGAAGTTGTATTCTGTATAATAACATTATTTAGCCATTATTTGCCGTCTATTGCTTTATACTCGCGTTAATAGTACACAATAAAGCACATCATAAAAACAATGGTCACAAATGGGGGCATAAATGAGATCTGGCTCATAATTCTCTCAGACATGCGATACAATAACATCAATACAATTGTGCGCTATATTAGTGCAGAATTCACCTAAATTTAGCCATACCTTCCACTGGCCTATGGATGAGTCCTAAACATAACTATCATATACAATAGCAATGCAATTGTGATCTTAAAAATGATTTATGAATACTTTTAGTGCTCAACTCCACTACCAGTGCATGTATTCTGACATAAATATTCTCAACGAATAAAATAAATACTCACTCATCAAAATGAAATAAAAAACAAACTCCAATCATATTTAATATATTACATGATACGAGTGAATGTATAGTCCACTCGTATTTAGTTTATTATATCGATATGTTGCCAGTGAATATACAGTAGAGGCAAATGCTCACAGAATATACAGAATATTCACTCATTTCGTGAAAGGAATTTGTTTTTTGATTTACCATTCATTACGGCATACATTCATAAATGGTATAAAGCTTTCAATTTTATTGATTAGATATTCAATGAATTAAAACATTCATATCGAGAGTACATTAATGTCTCGATTACGAGCTGATGATTCCGATGGCATATTCTTAGCCTGCACTTTGTATTTACCAAAACTGATTAAATGCATTAAAAAAGCATTGAATATATTGATTATAGAAAATATCATACAATTAGTGAACACAACACGAAAGAAAAGTTTTCCACATTCAATGAGTCTCCCTATCGTGTTCAGCACTAATCACCACTAAAAGCGTACACACAGTTAGCCAGGCATTTGCAGTCCGGTCTACCCATCACTATAATCCCACTCCCAATCACTTATCGTACAAAATGTGTGCACAAAGTGTCAAATAATAAGCACTACTGAAGAGAGACCTCTACTTTGCATTGAACACAGAGTTATGTAAGCATTGGCTGTGCATTGAGTGCCTATTGTATGGCATATGACTGTGTAATGCAATACATGTGCAGTACAGAGCAATCCATGTCTTTGTGTTGATTACTATCACAACAAAACTGTTCAACACTTCTCACACACTCTTCACCACTGGTTTGGTGAAGACGCCATTCACAGCAGACATCGGTGAGGATGTGCTCAACCACCAGACGATAATTGAGTGCCAATTAACCACTGATTAACTGATTGAGTGATGAAGATATTGAAACCCAATTGGATTAACCACAACGGTATGCATATCCACCACCATATATCATATATCACTGTCACCACCAACTAATCCATTGAAAAACCTCTTGTTTGACGGGAAGGTCGACCCATATTCTCGTTGGATATACACCCGGATGGCACGCGAGTGGCCACAGGAGGACAGGGCGATGACTCGGGACGGGTTGTCGTGTGGAATATGGCGCCCATTGTGGACGAGGCTCTGGAGGAGAGCGAGAATGTGGCCAAAGTGTTGTGTCAGATGGACAACCATCTCGCGTGTGTGAACGCCGTCCGGTGGTCGGCAAACGGCAAGTTCTTGGCCTCTGCCGGCGACGACAAAGTGATAATCGTGTGGACAATCGGCGCCCGATATGCCAACAGTAACGGCTTCGGCGGTAATGTGGAACAGTATAGGGCTGTCACCACATTGAGGGCCCATTCGGGAGACATTCTGGACCTGAGTTGGGCGCCGGGAGACAATTGGTTGGCCTCCTGTTCGGTGGACAACACGATTGTGGTGTGGAATGCGCTGAAGTGGAGTGAGATTGTGGTGACACTCAAAGGCCACACCGGACTCGTCAAAGGTGTCACTTGGGATCCGATCGGCAAATACTTAGCCTCGCAGTCGGACGACAAGTCTCTTCGCATTTGGAGAGTCAGCGATTGGACAGAAGAGACAGTCGTGACGGACCCCTTCCGCGAGTGCGGCGGCACTACACATGTGTTACGGCTTTGTTGGTCACCGGACGGGCAGTTCTTGGTGTCGGCGCACGCGATGAACAACTTGGGTTCAGTGGCGCAGATCATTGAGCGCCAGAATTGGACAACGAGTCGGGACTTTGTTGGGCACCGGAAGGCTATCGCATGCGTTCGGATCAACTCAAACATAATGTGTTTGCCGTCGAAGAATCCAAAGAAGTCGCAAAAACTCTGCTGTATTGCGATCGGGAGTCGCGACCGATCGCTGTCCGTGTGGTTGACTTCACGCAAACGACCCATAGTTGTGATGCACGACCTCTTCGACAACTCGGTGCTCGACCTCTCGTGGTCTCAAAGTGGGAACCAATTGATGGCCTGTTCTTGGGATGGAAGCGTCGCCTACATTGAGTTCGAGGAGTCCGAGATCGGGAAACCCATGTCGTCGGACGAGAAGATCTCTTATAAGCAAAAACTTTACGGCAAATCAATGAAGAGTTCGTCGCCGACACACCATCTCATAGAAGATCCCGATATTATGATAATACAGGAGCAGAAGAAACTGCAGCAGAATGGCTGCCAATCGAGTAACGAGTCGTCCAATAAAGTGGCCACAAATGACAGCAAAAACAGCTCCATATCGGTGTCCAAACTGAACAAAGGACCGACTGATAAGCAGATTGAGGTCATACTGGCCGATGGGCGCCGAAGAATCACTCCGCTCTACATCCCACCCATCGATGGCATCGCATTCAATATACAGCCGACGACTTTCAGCTCTTCCAGCGAAACGAAGACTAAGATTGTGATTGAAAAACACGACGAATCCAACAGTTCTATGCACAGCACTCCCAACAAACAGACACAACATGTGATCAAATCGTTGCCCAATATGGACACCGAACCTATGAAAGTGAACAAACAAACGGTTCCCACGGAATCCAAACGTAAGGTCAGTAGTGGTCTGGAGATCAGTCCCAATAACAGTAAACGCAAACCCGGACGACCGCCCGTCCCCTCCAAGGAGATCAGTAAACAGACTTCCATTGAACCTAAAAGTGTCACAACTATTGAACCCATGCCTAAGACAGTAGTGAAGCATTCGGTGTCAAAAGAGGACCGCTCCTCTGCTGCCAATAATTTCTATTTACCGGCCCTTAAAATAGATAAAACGGCGACAATTAAAGTGTCGGTAAAATGTGATAAGAAAGAGGTCTCGAAGAACATGTCGATAGATGTGGAGAATGGGATCAATTCAAGCCATTTGTCTGCACTTCGACTCAATCAGAATGAGGAGAGACAGTGGCAGGTATTGATCTCATCCAAAATCATTGGTGTGGCCGGCAGTGAGCATCTGATTGCCTGTGCCTGCGATGACAATACATTATCGGTCTTTAAGACACCGACCGGCAGACGACTGCAGACACCGCTTGTATTGAACTCTCCGATCGCACGGCTCACCTGTCAGTCCTATAAGATTATGGTCATCACCACACAGGCAGTGCTCTGGATGTGGGATATGAGCCAACATAAGGTCATCATTAAAGGCGAGTCATTACTACCGCTGCTCACAGACAACAACGTCTCCATTCTAAGCACCGGTATCACCGAAATTGGTTCACCACTCATATGTCTGTCTACGGGGAAATCGTATGTGTTTGACGAGGGATTCGGCACCTGGACTCTGGTCTCCAACACCAACGATGCACTGAACGCATGCACCGACCAAAAGCCACATGCGTTTGATCCGAGTTCTCTTCCTCTGTCGACCATTCAGTCGCAGACAAAGTAAGTCATCAGACAATAAGACCATCACTTCTGTTGTACTAAAACAGTGTTTCTATCTTAAGGACAAACAAATCGATGCACACATTGTTCGTGAGTAACGCAAACCTCCAACAGTCCGGTGTCTTGAGTCATATCGACCAACAATTGGCGGCGAGTTTTGTGATCGGATCGGCCAAAGAGTATCGCTTTTGGTTGATAGCGTTGGCGCAACACCTGTCCAAAGAGAACATGGAGTGTCGGTTGCGAGAGATGTGCCAATACCTGATCGGACCGGTGTTCAAGTCGTCCAAAAGCCAATGGGACCCTAAGATATTGGGCAACAGATAGCGTTGGCGCAACACCTGTCCAAAGAGAACATGGAGTGTCGGTTGCGAGAGATGTGCCAATACCTGATCGGACCGGTGTTCAAGTCGTCCAAAAGCCAATGGGACCCTAAGATATTGGGCAACAATAAGCACGATATGCTCAAAGAGGTCCTCTCCATATTAGGCACTAATATAAGACTTCAACGATTGTATACGGAGTTCAAGGAACAGTTGGAACAGATGTTAACTCTTTAACTAATATTTTTAGACACTTTCATCATAATGACTCTTAATTGAACTGTATATGAACTGTATAGAATCACATCATTTACAATATTTATTTTCAATACATATTACATTTACCATTTCATACCTGTATAATGTGCTGTTTTTATTACCTGTTAATGTAATTAAATTGAATGACAATTGAATGAATTGTTTTGAATTAATTTGTTGAAAAGTTATGGTCAAATATTGGGTGTCCATTGAGGGGAAGGTACAGTATCTATAAATTAATGGTTTTGTCTAAAATGTTGAAATAGTAAGTATTATTGTAACTATTTGCCCACAATTGATCACTTATTACAGTTAATTCTGTTGATCATAAGAAACAAAATGTATTCACAATCTGTGTGTTGATTGATACCAGAGAGCTCTGTATCGGACATCAAATGCTTGGTTAAAAGTGAATGTTATTGCCAACAAATTAAATCTAATGAACAAAATTAGATTATCGTAAAATGTAAAGTGTAAAGTCCTGGAACAATTAGCTCAAACTTTTTGCGTGAGAAATTGTTGCGTTATTTGTGTGTATTTTGGCACTGAATTCATGGATTTGTTTCAACTTTTTCTCGCAATGAAAGCATTGATTGCATGACTTGTTAACCAAATCACAATCACTTTGAAACGACCAATATTTTGATTGACATACATTTGGTAGTCCATGTGATCCAGTGTACCTTGGTCAGTCATCTATTTAGTAGCCATGACCGCATCGGCTACTCGTTCACGTGTATTAAGCCTTTACCGGCAGTTGTTGCGTGAATCCAATCGATTTGACTCTTATATGTACCGCAATTACGCGCTCCGGAGGGTTAAGGACTCGTTCAGACAACACAAGGGCATCACCGATGGGAACACCATCGAGACACTGATGGCCGACGGCCACCGCAATCTCGAGATAATCCGCAGGCAAACCGTTATCAACCGGTTGTATAAAAGCGATCGACTGGTGGTGGAAGACGTGGCCACTGCTCGCCGTACTTAAGACACCACTCGTTGTATATATCAATAGATTTGTTGTAATAATAGTCGCGAAAGCAATACATTAATTCAAATAAATAAAAACAAGTATTTATTATTAAATTATAAGACAATTAAAATGACAATAAGTATCAAAAGGTGTCATAAGATTCACGCGTTTTTAGTGATGTATTCGTTGGGAAAGGAGAAGGAATGGATGGACGGGACGGTCGATATGGGCAGCAGTCCCGCGTTGGGGATCACATTCATGGACAGCGTGAGTGTGATGTTGTCGTTGGCTTTGAGGCCATTGCCGTCGTCCCAGAAGTAGTACTTCGTGTGTTGGTTCTTGAGGGACAGCTTCGTGGGCTCACCCCTCTGTATGATGTGATCCCAGAGCACCACTTGGTTGAGGACATTGGCTTTGGTCTTGTAGTGAGCGGTCATATAGAGGAACAGCTGTTTGGTGTTCCAGTCGAAGGCGGGCGCGA